AGCGACACCATCAACGAAAACATATGTGCTTTCTCTTGCATCAACTTCCTCAACTGCCTAGCAGACAACAGACCATCTTCCTCTTCCTCAGGAGTAGAAAACTTCACCGACTTGTTATAACAGTTAATATGAACACAATTATGCTCTAACCAGTTCATACCCAGATTACATCCAAACCTCTTAATGGTAAACAAACCAAATCAACAACAAAGTCTCTGTCGAAGATCGACAAGGGACACTTAGCACACACAAAAGAAGTAGTCACCGACCCCTTGGCTGGAGTATCGATGACCATTTATCCATTCAAAGAAGACAACACAAGACCCATTCTTTCAACATAATCAGCAGCAATAAAACAATGCGTAGCACCAGTATCAATAATAGTGATTAAAGGAGTACTATTAATGAAACATGTACCTCTAATAAGTCTGTCCTTAGCAGCTGTCTAATCCTCAACCAAAGCAAACACTTTACCACTTGAATGAGCCCTCTTCGGTTTCGGACACTGGCTACCAATGTGCCCTTCTTCTTTACAGTTGAAACAAACCACACTCTTGTGCTCACACTCAGATACAACATGTCTGTTCTTGCCACAACGGAAACACCTCTTCACTTCAGTAGTGCACACATTACTCTTGTGTCCAGGTTTCCCACACTTAAAGCAAATACAACCAGCAGGAGCATCTCCCCCACTAGTCCTATGACCATGAGCAACTCTCTGTTTACCCTTACCAGCTGGGGCATCATAAGGTTTATCACGATTCTATGGATGCTTACCCCTCTTCTCACTAATAATCTTGTAATGAGCATTATTGTCTTCCTCATAAATTCTGCAGCTATCAACCAAATCAGCAAAGACACGGATTTTCTGATATCCAACTGCTTTCTTAATCTCCGGGCGCAACTCATTCTCAAATTTAATACACTTTGAAAACTCAGCATTTTCCTCAGCGTAATGCGGATAAAACTTGGCCAACTTAGCAAACTTGGCAGCATACTCAACAACAGACAGATTTCCTTACTTCAGCTCAAGGAACTCAATTTCTTTCTTACCACAGACATCTTCAGGAAAATACTTTCTCAAAAACTCCCTACGGAACACAGCCCAAGTGAGATTCTCACCTGCAGCTTCTAACTTCTGGCAAGTCACTAGCCACCAGTCATCAGCCTCGACTGCTAGCATATGAGTCCCATAACGAACCTTCTGCGCTGGAGTGCAATCCATCACGTGAAAGATCCTCTCAATCTCTTTCGGCCATTCCAAAGCTCCGCCAGGGTCATACTTTCCCTAGAACGAAGGTGGATTCTCTCTCTGGAAAGTCGCCAAGCTACGAGATCCAGTATTCCCGTCAGTATTCGGCTGATTTTCCATCGCATGAGCCATTGCTTCTAAAGCAGCAGCAAGAGCAGCATTATTCCCTCCAGCCATCTCAACTTCTCACTACAACATAAACAACGGTTAAAACAACAAAATAACAATACTCGATTGTTAGACAATTACGACTCGACGACAAGGTCAGACCAACCTTTTGCTCTGATACCAACTTTGTAACACCCCAATTCTACCCCAAGCAATTATGCAAAATAAATCAGAGTTATAAAATTTCAATCATACAAATGAATCGGGACGTCACAAATTCTTCTAACAAATTCATTGCATTCATCGTGGATATATAACACTTTTTCAAAACATCGGATGAACCATCAACATGACATCTTTCATAAAATAAATCAACATCTACGTAGCGGAATTCTTAATGACATATCTAACAAAACAACAACTTTGAATCATCTCATAGGTCATAATCAAATTGAAATTCAATAACTAAAAATCATCAATCAAAACAGCAAATGTTCACCCCCCCCCCCCCCCCCCCGAGTGTTACATATCAGAGCAATGACACCGACTCAAACTATTGATGGTATAAAACCTTCACTCTCGATTACCTGCATGTTACCAACATAAGGGCAACATTCAAACAGAAGGGGTGAGATATCTAACAATATAATAAAGCACATGATAATTAATATATTAAATTAGATCAACAACATCACCACTTCTCATCTCATAACCAACATCAATCTCAGCAATAAAACACAGTCATTCACATCAAAATACACTTCTTTATGAAATCATATAATGCGACTCAAAACTATGCAAATGCATGTGGTACCATTAGAGCAGAACTCCCATCTCAAAAATTTTCCAATTAATAGAGACATCAACAAGGCATAGCCTTCATCTCAGAATTTGCTAATCCAGGCCATCTCAACGAGCATAAGCTCCATCTCAAAAATGCAAGGTATGCGACACAACCATGAATGTAATGATAACACCCAAGTTAACGACATCTCAAATCATCTCAAAACATCTCAATTTAACATCTCAAAACATATCAATTTAACATCTCAAAACATCTCAAAATAACATCTCAAAATACATCTCAAAATATCTCAAAATAACATCTCAAAATACATCTCAAAATAATCAAAATAATTCATCAAACATCATTTCTTTATAAATAAATTCTCAGCAATAACTCAGCTGTATTTTAATTCCTCAGTAAAATCAACACTGTCATTTTGTAACTCTAAAGTCAAGACAGTCACTTTCCTACTTTTATAGCTCAAACAACAGCTTCTAGAATCGAACGCTCATCGTTCTGCACAAAACATCGTAAAGGCCATCCATCTTCTGCCCATGCAACCTCTAACCAACGCTATTTCTAAATAGCCAACTTCTGATGACGCAACCTCTGGGCGACACAATCTTCTGACTACTTTAACTCCTGACTAGATACAACTTCTGATCATCTCATCTTCTGACTAATGACATCTTCTGACTAGTGCAACCTCTAACCAGATACAACTTCTGACCACTCGACCACTGACTAGTCCCCATCTTCTGACCACTCATCTTCTGACCACTCATCTTTTACCACTCATCTTCTGACTACTCATCTCCTGACTAATGCCATCTTCTTACTAGTGTAACCTCTAACCTCAGTACTGCCACCTTTCACTATGCCACGCATCTTCTAACAGTTTACGTCTAACTTCAGAATTTCTATCTTGCACTAATCTAACGCAGCCCTGGTCAACATACCTCTATTTTCAGAACTGCTATTTTCTATTCATCCTACTATTGTTCTAATTTTTGTTATCAACCTAATTAGGAACAGTATGATAAATCATATTCTCCAAATTAATTCATTAGTTCTAATACAACAACGACTGCCATCAATTTACCAAATTCTGCATTTTCTGTACTGCAATATTCAACGTATTATTCTTCCCTGTTAACCTTACAGATTCATACACAAAGCCTTAAACCTAATCTAATCGTGACAATTTATCACCCATAAATTACCTTATAATTCTACAACAATTAAAGAACATCAAGACATCATTATTCATCCAAAAATTCATCGATTCTCATCACAAACAATCATATAATTTCAATTTAGGAACGAAACAACAACCACCTCTAACCCCACATATCGATCATCATAAACCAAATTATAGAGTCAGAACCCTATCCTTACCTTGGATTGAAGGTCGCTCTACAATTTCCGATTGGATTCACGTTCTTACCGTTATTCCTCCTTTTCACGCAGCTTGCACGTTCTTCTCAATCCTTATTTCTTCTGATGTTTCTTTCCTTCTATTCTAACAACAAATAATAAAATAACTCTATTATTCTATTATCTCCTTATTGGGCTTAAAACCAACACACACACCCTTATTACTTCTACTCTCTCAAAATAAGCCCACATTAAATAATATTACATTTTTAATATTATTTCACCACATAATATTATATCTCTAATATTATTTCTCCACTTAATAAAATAAATCCTATTAATTATAACACATCTTCATAAATATTCCAAAAATAATTTAATTAAATAATTAATTAAATTATGGGTATTACATTATACATATAGACTTTGTAGCAAACTTGATCAAATTGAAATTTTTCTAGTTTTCTGATATAGGAAAGTTCAATATCCTCCTTCAATGAAGAAATAAAGATTATATAACATTTAAACTCTCAAATGTTTTCTCTAAAAATTTTCACATATGAATAAAAATAATGGGGAAAAAAGTTTCTCGGTTAAACATCACAGACACTTGAAAAATAGATGGAAATTTTTCATGAAGAAGGTGAGTTAAACAATGTAATTTTTTGTTATTTATATGGAATAATAAACGTCTAGAAAGAAATGTAAATCATTTATAAATAATCATAAATAATTTTCAATACTTCAAGAAAATGATTCATGAAAAAGTTCCATGAAACAATATTGTGTTGTTTAAGATTTTTCCAAAATTTACAGATGACAGTCGAATGCTTTACCATGAAAATCAATTACCTATTTGTAAATCGAATACTAAATGGATCCAATAATCCATAAAATATATTATTTATTTAATTCTATACAAATACGGTGAGTGTACTTAAATGGTTAAACAAAATTCAAAGAATAAGTGAGTCTTAACATTAAAATTGTTGATGATGCACAAATTTAAATTTGACATTTAGTAGAAAAGAAATTGAACTTATGTTCACCACAAATGTAGTATCTCTATGTCTACCCACTCATTCTCAAAAAGAAAATCCTTTATATCCTTAGAATCAAAATAGAAAACCTCTAGTACCAGAATAGTAATTAATTATTTAACATCCATAACATATACCAATTTTCTAATTGAACCGCCAGAAGGAATAATTATCTCATTTTGGATGTGGATATGGACGGTGTTGCAACTGGTTTTTTAAATTAGAGTCGTCACTCTTAATTTTATCATTTTAAATTATATAAATTTGTTTGTATCAGTTGATTATTATTTGAAGTATTAATTTTGAGAGAAGTTTAGAAAACATTATTATCATATAGAAGTACTAATTTTGAGAGAAGCGTACAAAACATAAATTAATAATCAATTCTTTAATACACATATATGGGATTGTTTTCCGTTCATAGCAGTTAGAGATAATGGTGTGTAGAAACGTAACGGATTTGTCCATATTCGGTATTAGGCTTGTCTCATTTGTGAAACATTTTTTTAAATGATAATAATATAATATTAATATATAGTTATAAACAAAAAACTAGTAACAAACCGTGCTATCGCACGGGTCTCGTCTGGATTCACATTACATTTATAGATTATTAACTTATGTTTTCAGTTGAGTATATGTCTCATGTAAACCATGTTGGCATTTAACTCCATATTTGTAGCAAGCGTCGGTCCTATCAACAAATCACGTCTGCATGAACAAATAGGAAAAATTATATACTTCTTAAAAAAAAACAATGATATTTATGCTCTAAGATATCCGTGTTATCGCACGGGTCCCGTCTAGATTCACATTATAGGTTGTCAAATCTCATTTGTCAAGTTTGAATATATTTTTTAGTTGATTAACATTCACATAGTTACAAATATAGACTAATAATATGCATCAACTTTTAAATTAAGAAATAAAAAGAACTCTTATATTAATATATTTGACCAAAAGAGTATTAAATCTTTAATGTTAATTTGATTTTATTAAAAAGATTCTACAATTTAGTCAAAAATGAATTCTATACTAAATTAATATAAAACAGTAGCAAAAGAAAGATTTAAAAGATGAACATTAAAATTAACAGTTTACGGTTGATATTTATAGATACGTTCACATTTACCTGTGGATCTATGCCTGTAAAGTCCTTCATTAAGATGAACAATCTACGGCTATTAAATTGAGAAATAAAATGAGAAATAAAAAAGAAATCTTAGATTAATATATTTGACTAAGAGAGTATTAAGTCTTTATTGTTAAATTATATAATATAAGAATTGAATAAGAAACAATTAATAGAAGAAAACTATAGAGTTAGCAAAAATGTAATTTAAGTGTCATAATTTAGAATTAGTAAAAAACGTTAATTATATATAAGAAAAAAATAGAATAATTTGAAATAGTATATTCTAAAAATAGCAATGAAAAGTCTTTAAAAACGACATTTAGAAAACCGGTGCATTAGAAATTAATATGAAATTAACAACATTAAATAGTAAGAAACTCGTGCTATCATACGGTTACCGTCTGAATTCACATTATACGTCTCTCACTCTCATTTATCAAATTTGTATATATTTATTCAGTTAATTAACATTTATATAGTTACAAACATAGAAAGCGCATTGAACTCGTGTGTCTATTTATAAAAAAATATTTGTAGTTTATTCTGATTTATAATAATAATTGAATAATAAATTGAATTTTTTTCGTTTATAAAAATATTTGTAACTTATTCTAGTTTAAAAAAATTATTGTAACTTATTTTCGTATATAAAAATATTTATATCAACATATAGACTTTTTCCCGTTTATAAGGGACTTGAACCCGTGTGATAATTTATAAAGTAAAATTTAATTTATTCATGTTAAAAATAATTGTTTTAATACTTCAATTTTTATCCTTTATAAAAATATTTGTAACTTATTCGCGTTTATAAAGTTATTCTAACTTTCTTTGCGTTTATAAACACATTGAACTCGTGTGTCCATTTATAAAAATATTTGTAAGTTATTCTCTTGTATAAAAATAATTGTAACTTATTCCGTTTATAGAAATAATTGTATCATTAAATTTTTACTTTTTATCCACTACGCCAAAAATGATTTTTTGTATCACCTAATTTAATAGCACTTTTAAAAAAAATGCTATTAAAATGGAAAAAACACATTTATAATAGCACTTTTTAATCGGGCGCTATTATATAATACAGACTATGTAATTTTGATAGCACTTTGTACCAGAACGCTATTATTAAACTTCTTTAAGATAGCATTTTGTATAAAACGCTATTATTTGACTACCTATATAATAGCATTTATTAAAAAGCGCTATGTTATATATAATAATGAATTAATTAATTAATTGATAAAAAAAAAAAACAAAACACATTTTCAGAAAATTGGATTTCCCATCAATTTTCCCCTTTCGATTTTCCCGGCCACACCACCGCCGTCATCGCCGCTTCATCCACCGACGACAGCGGCATCCCGTCTCAAGATCTCGCAGTTCTCCTCGAAGTCGACGGGTGAATTTTCGCTTTTCTTCGTTATTAACAATCTCGTTTCAGTTTCACTCTGCTCAATGGGTTGTATTGCAGTACAATTTTGAAGGAAGATATGATCTAGTTAGGTTCATTAAGACAGTGCAAAAAGTGGGGCTCTATGTTAATCTTCGCATTGGACCTTATGTTTGCGCCGAGTGGAACTTTGGGTACATGCATGTTGCTAATTCCATTTTAATTTCTTTTTTTTTTTATGTAAGATTATAATTGCAATAACGTTTTTGTTCTTTGATGGTATAGGGGAATTCCTGTTTGGTTGAAGTATGTTCCGGGTATAAGCTTTAGAACCGATAATGAGCCTTTCAAGGTTGAGCTTTCTTTGATTTCATTTCATGACCTGGTTTGGTTTATCCGTGTTAACTCGAGTCTTGAATGATTTGGTTGATATAAATTTTTTTTTCGGTTTTAGGCTGCAATGCAAGGTTTTACTCAGAAGATTGTTCAAATGATGAAGAGTGAAAACTTGTTTCAGTCTCAGGGTGGTCCAATCATTCTTTCTCAGGTATGATGTTCTTGTTGAATGTGTGGATATTTTGAAGAAAATGCATTCGATATCAGAATTTTGATGTCAAAAAGTCATTTCTTTCTAGATTGAGAACGAATACGGACCAGAGAGCAAGGCGATGGGAGCTGCTGGTCATGCATACCTAAACTGGGCTGCATATATGGCTGTTGGATTGGGAACAGGAGTCCCTTGGGTGATGTGCAAAGAAATTGATGCCCCAGATCCTGTGGTGAGCCCTCACAAGCTCTATCTTTAGGTTCACCATTCATTATAGACTTATCGAGTGTTGAATATGATCCACCCGATTCTCCGCTACAGATTAATTCGTGTAATGGCTTTTACTGTGACGATTTCTCTCCAAATAAACCATATAAGCCTAGCATGTGGACCGAGTCTTGGAGTGGCTGGTAAGATATACATTGTTCTATGACTATAGATGTTAGATACATTTGTCTACTTTTCACCCTCTTATTCTGCTGATCTCTTTCTTTCCGATCCTGTAATCGTAAGGTTTACCGAATTTGGTGGCCCGATTCACCAGCGACCAGTTCAAGATCTGGCATTTGCAGTTGCTCGTTTCATTCAGAAGGGCGGATCATATGTGAATTACTACATGGTTGGTCACCTATGAATTATTTATCATATTTCAAAAAATAACTTTACCTATTTCGATAAGGTTCTGTTCTTATTATTTGTTGCAACAAAACATGTGGTGCCTTGCTTTGAAGTCAAATTTTCACTTTTGTGATTATTGATTATTGATAGTATCATGGAGGAACTAATTTCGGACGTTCCGCTGGGGGTCCGTTCATTACTACAAGCTATGATTACGATGCTCCAATCGATGAATATGGTAAGAAAATTATGCTTGTTTGTTATGACCAGATTCTTTGATTATTTTGTTGTTCTACATGATTCACCAATCATTTGAATGGATTATGAAGTAATGTATCATAATTGGAATATTTCAGCACTTCCTTATCTTGCATACATGAATGATTTAGGTTTGATTAGGCAACCGAAATATAGCCATTTGAAGGATCTTCATAAAGTGATCAAGCGATGCGAGCATGCTTTGGTTTCTTCGGACCCTACTGTTACATCGTTAGGAACATACCAGCAGGTAAATTGTCACATATATGAAGAAACTAACCCCTCTTCTAGTTATGTGCTGGTTTATGATAAACTAATATTGTGGTGACAATCACGCTATTCTCTCTATGTGCTTGGTGATTTTCCAGGCTCATGTATTCTCTGCAGAAACTGCAGGATGTGCAGCTTTTCTCGCAAACTATCATGTACAATCTGCTGCTACCGTAGTTTTCAATAATAAGCACTATGACTTGCCTCCATGGTCCATAAGCATCCTTCCCGATTGCAAAACTTCCGTATTTAATACCGCAAAAGTAAGAATATTTCTTCCTCCCTCTCCTCCCTCAACTACCTTCCTCCTCTGCCACTGCCAACACCTCCTCCTCCGACAACGCCGATGCCGACCAGTCTGAGTTCATTTACCTCACTTGGCTCCGTTCGAAGTTCGATGAGTTTCTTAAATCTCTGATAGATGTTCTTGTATCGGATCAATCTGATGAAACTCTGAAGGAAGTTGTGTTGGATACGTTGATGGAGTTTGTGAAGGTTGCTAATGGCGGCACCTTTCATTCTTCGTTGTATAACAGAATTATCAGTAGTATTGTAAGTTTCTCATTCTAATCGTAATTCTACTTTGTTATTTTTGTGCTCATAGTTTGATATATGATATTTTTGTTTTGTTTTGCTTCATCAGATTCACTCTGCTAGTTCTGCTGAATTTTTGATTGATTTACTAACATCAAAGTATTTCAAGTATATTGATGTCAGGTATGATTAATGAAGGGTTTTTCTTTGCAAGTTAAATTGATTCGTTTACTCTGTTTTATGAGTTTTTAACTATTGTTTAATTCTTGATTGCTGAACTATTTTGTCACTCGGTGTAGTTATTTTACATTCAAAAAGTTACTTGTTTAAACAAAGAGAGCACATTCTATTCTTATTGATATTGTTTATATTTATCCAATAAGCTATACCCTTAGTGTTATTTATTTTTTGTCTCCTCTTCAGTTGAAAATACTATAAAGCTTAATGGCGCTAGTGCATTTGCATTTCATCCAACTCTAGAATGGATTTTTGTTGGAGATCGACGTGGTACACTATTGGCATGGGATGTATCAATCGAGAAGCCTAGTATGATTGGAATGTGAGTGACTCTAGTTTACCTATGACTGAGGTTTTTCTATTATCTATATGAAAGACCTGTCATCATGGTTATCTATTTTGAATTTGTTATTTACTTATGTCCTATTGATGGAATTGTTTGTCTGTTATTTTGGTTACATGGAAATCAGAATTCAAGTTTGCTCGCAACCAATAACTTCTGTTGCTTGGCTGACCACTTTGCGTATGCTTGTAACCCTATCAAAGGATGGAAATATGAAGGTTTGGAAAACACGGGTTATAGCTAATCCTAATAGACCTCCTATGCCAGCAAATTTTTTTGAGACTGCTGGTTAGCTATCTTGATTCTTTCTGCCTCTACCTCTGAATTTCTTGTTGGCTTTTGAGAAATGGTTTCTCATGTTATGTTTATTTTGAAATTCCCGTGCTATGTGTCCCTCCCAATAGCATGAATATCATCAGCCTTCTTAACAAGGTGTCCATAAAGTCCTTGGCCTAGAAACAACACTTCAACAACATTATGCCAATCCATATAGTTCTTACCTTTTAATTTCTCTGTGATGATGATGGGATGAAGAAAAGAAATTTAGAAAGAATCAAATCAAATATACTCAACAATACCCACAATCGACTTGCTTCACTTTATTACCGTTCTTGTCATTGTACTTGGCTGGTTAATTAATAAAAATTCTGATGCAGCAATTGAAGCAATTGATATCCCACGTATCCTTTCTCAACAAGGTGGAGAAGCAGTGTATCCCTTACCGCGAATCAAAGCTATAGAATTTCATCCAAAGTCTAATTTGGCAGCATTAGTGTTTGCAGTTAAGTGCCACCTTTCATTATATATACCTATCTTGCTAGTGAATATATAGGATACACGAACTTACTGTTGACTTTAACAGAATGCAGCAAGTGGAGATACTTCAAAAAACGAAACTGTATCCAATAGAGAAAGGAGAAAGCAACTTTTTGCAGTTTTGCAAGGTGCACGTGGATGTAAAAAGTATCTAGGTACTTGTTTAAACAAAGAGAGCAATATGAAGAGTAGTTACTTGTTTTTTACAGCCTTCATGGCCTTAGCATCTTGTGCTTTAGCATTTGATCCCAGCCCTCTACAAGACTTTTGTGTAGCTATCAATGACACCAATAATGGTGGTATGTATATATAATAATGTTTTTTCTGTTCATCAATTTATTACAGTCAATCAATTTAATCTCCGTATTTGATTTGCAGTGTTTGTTAATGGAAAATTGTGCAAAGATCCAAAACTTGCCACTGCAAATGACTTCTTTTTCTCAGTGAAAGAAGGAAACACGTCAAATTCACTTGGCTCAAAAGTGACACCGGTTGCAGTTAACGAGATATTAGGATTAAACACTCTCGGTATCTCTCTTGCTCGCATTGACTTTGCACCTAGGGGACTAAATCCTCCACACACTCATCCAAGAGCTACTGAGATTCTTATAGTTTTGGAGGGTACTCTCTATGTTAGTTTTGTTACTTCTAATCCGCAAAATCGTCTCATTACAAAAGTACTCAACAAAGGAGATGTATTTGTGTTCCCTATTGGTCTCATTCACTTTCAGTTGAATGTGGGATATGGAAATGCGGTTGCCATTGGTGGACTTAGCAGTCAGAATCCAGGAGTTATCACAATTGCTAATGCTGTGTTTGGATCTAATCCAAAAATTTCTTCAGATGTTCTCACAAAGGCTTTTCAAGTGGACAATAAGATAGTTGACAATCTCCAGAAACAGTTTTGGTATGACAACAACTAGAGATGCAAGTTTTGATAGTTTATATTTGATTTACTCTTAGTTTAATTTCTTATTTTACCTTTTTGACATTGTTGATATTTATTATAAGATTTTAAGAAAATAAAAGTAGGGCATGATGTACCTTATATTCATATTTGAGCCATTTGAATAAAAAAAGTTTGCTTTCTAAATTGTATCTGTAACATGTTATTCTTAAATATAAAAAATAATTAATGGTAGCTTCTATATCAAGCTTTGGTTGAGTTTACAAATTAGTCCTTTGTATCCTGCTTTGGCTTCAAAAGCAACATGTGTGTCTTGGTGAAGTCTAGTGGAAGGGAGGATTTTTATTTTGATAAGGAAAAATATGATCATGGTGATTTATGTCTCTTGAAATGAAAATATTTCTGTTGTTTAGATCAAATAAAAATGTTATTTTATTTCTAACTTGTATCCCAGGTAAATACACTTTCTAAATATAGGTCCTAGCTTTGATAGCACTTTAATTAAAACGCTATTATAAATTGGTACTTTAATAGCGCTTTTAAAGTGCTATTAAATAAGAAATATTTACAATAGTGGCGCGGTTAATAGCACTTTTAAGCGCTATCAAAAACAAAAAAAAGCGCTATTAAATAGCTTATTTGGCGTAGTGATCATTAATTTTTTATGATTACCATTTATCATTAAATTTTCATGACTACCATTTAATATTTTTTATCATGATTACCATTGAAAAGATTCTCATAAATTTTAGTTATTTAATAAGTTTTAAAAAATTATAGAATTTCAATTGATTTTATTTTGTTTTATTAATCTTTTTATAAAAATCTAAATTATTTTAAAATATATCAATAGCATTCAAAATTATATAGTTTTTTCCTAAAATACTTTTTGAATGCTATTTAAAATTATATCAATATTATATATTTTATTTTCATTAATTCAATTTAATTGAATTTCAATGAATCGATTAATCTTTTGAAAATGATCTAATTGAATTAATTGATCAATTAACTCTTTGTAAAGTTATCATACGTATAATAGTTTCTTTCAAAAGTATTTTCTTAAGAAATATTCAAAATAAAGTATTTTAAGAAATATTAATAAAAATGAGACGATTTTTATTAACATTTCTTAAAAATACATGCTTTTTAATAATATTTCATAAAAATACATGATTTTTAATATATTTTAGTAACAAATATTATTTAAACTATAATAATACTTACTTAAAATTTTAAACAAATCACAATTTTGCTAATATTTTTTAATAAATTTGTTTTAAAATGATAGAAAATTTTATCGATTTTAATTATTCACTTTATATATTTAATTTCAAGTTAATCATTACTCATTTTAGAATATTTATTTTTTTGAAAATTATTTTATCATTTTGCAATAAATCATTAATCATAATTTATATGATTTTAAGATACTTATAATCATAAATCATAATTATTTTATCAATTAATCATAATATATAATTTATAATTGCAATAATTCAAATTTTAAACTCAAATGTACTTTTCCATATTCCCAGGGACAGACCTTTTGAACCTTCATCATATATACATTCTCTTAAAACATAAACAATAAATGAGAGGAATAGATATAAATAAATAAACCGTGAATGAAACATTGGAATTGGAATTCAAATATAAATAAATTAACCGTGAATGAAACATTGGAATTGGAATTCAAATATAAATAAAATTCAAATATAAATAAAATAAATTAATAAATCAAATAAATAAAAAATAGTGTAAAATTATGATAGATTGACATGTCAGCAAAATTAAATGTTTGAGTCGTTGATGTCTTTTACAGCTTCAATCGGTCGCGCCATTCATGTTACTATTTAGATCTGTTACAAAATCGGTATTAAAATAGACACAGAGAATCAAAATATGAGAATGAAGAAGAATTAGAAAATAATACGTAATCTTTTGAAAATAATGGAGAATGAAGAAGATTGAGGAGTGAAAGAGTAAGGGTTTAGAATGATTATATATAGGGTTTAGAATGACTATATATAGGGTTTAGAATGCCTGGGAAGTTGTGATATCTTGGAATATCAAAATAATCTATTCTAAGTAGTGTAATGATAAATAGTGGGTATTTTTAAATCATGCAATGAATAATATTCCATTTAATTATAATAGATCTAATTTGGTCATTCTAATTCCTTCCTCATTAACCGTGAGTCAAACATTAGAATGCAAATTCTGTCAAAAAAAAACATTGGAATTCAAATATAAATAAATTAACCGTGAATGAAACATTGGAATTGGAATTGAAATATAAATAAAATTCAAATATAAATAAAATAAATTAATAAATCAAATAAATAAATTAAAAATAATCTAAAATTATGATAGATTGACATGTCAGCAAAATTAAATTCCAAATGAATATGGTAACAACATAGTGTTGATTAGTCTGTTATACCTTTGGAATAAGAAAAGTTATAACATCTAATCAAAAGGTTAGACTTGGAATTTCCAGGTACTTTACTTTTAATAGATTGATAATAGATAGATAAAAATATTTGTAACTTATTCTAGTTTAAAAAAATTATTGTAACTTATTTCCATATATAAAAATATTTATATCAACATATAGACTTTTTCCCGTTTATAAGGGACTTGAACCCGTGTGATAATTTATAAAGTAAAATTTAATTTATTCATGTTAAAAATAATTGTTTTAATACTTCAATTTTTATCCTTTATAAAAATATTTGTAACTTATTCGCGTTTATAAAGTTATTCTAACTTTCTTTGCGTTTATAAACACATTGAACTCGTGTGTCCATTTATAAAAATATTTGTAAGTTATTCTCTTGTATAAAAATAATTGTAACTTATTCCGTTTATAGAAATAATTGTATCATTAAATTTTTACTTTTTATCATTAATTTTTTATGATTACCATTTATCATTAAATTTTCATGACTACCATTTAATATTTTTTATCATGATTACCATTGAAAAGATTCTCATAAATTTTAGTTATTTAATAAGTTTTAAAAAATTATAGAATTTCAATTGATTTTATTTTGTTTTATTAATCTTTTTATAAAAATCTAAATTATTTTAAAATATATCAATAGCATTCAAAATTATATAGTTTTTTCTTAAAATACTTTTTGAATGCTATTTAAAATTATATCAATATTATATATTTTATTTTCATTAATTCAATTTAATTGAATTTCAATGAATCGATTAATCTTTTAAAAATGATCTAATTGAATTAATTGATCAATTAACTCTTTGTAAAGTTATCATACGTATAATAGTTTCTTTCAAAAGTATTTTCTTAAGAAATATTCAAAATAAAGTATTTTAAGAAATATTAATAAAAATGAGACGATTTTTATTAACATTTCTTAAAAATACATGCTTTTTAATAATATTTCATAAAAATACATGATTTTTAATATATTTTAGTAACAAATATTATTTAAACTATAATAATACTTACTTAAAATTTTAAACAAATCACAATTTTGCTAATATTTTTTAATAAATTTGTTTTAAAATGATAGAAAATTTTATCGATTTTAATGATTCACTTTATATATTTAATTTCAAGTTAATCATTACTCATTTTAGAATATTTATTTTTTTGAAAATTATTTTATCATTTTGCAATAAATCATTAATCATAATTTATATGATTTTAAGATACTTATAGTCATAAATCATAATTATTTTATCAATTAATCATAATACATAATTTATAATTGCAATAATTCAAATTTTAAACTCAAATGTACTTTTCCATATTCCCAAGGACAAACCTTTTGAACCTTCATCATATATACATTCTCTTTAATTTGTATTTACAACACACTTTGTACAACTGATTCATTGTATTCTAAATTTACAAAAAATAGATAGTGCATCTAAAAAAACATAAACAACAAATGAGAGGAATAGATATAAATAAATAAACCGTGAATGAAACATTGGAATTGGAATTCAAATATAAATAAATTAACCGTGAATGAAACATTGGAATTGGAATTCAAATATAAATAAAATTCAAATATAAATAAAATAAATTAATAAATCAAATAAATAAAAAATAGTGTAAAATTATGATAGATTGACATGTCAGCAAAATTAAATGTTTGAGTCGTTGATGTCTTTCACAGCTTCAATCGGTCGCGCCATTCATGTTACTATTTAGATCTGTTACAAAATCGGTATTATGTTACTATTTAGATCTGTTACAAAATCGGTATTAAAATGGACACAGAGAATCAAAATATGGGAATGAAGAAGAATTGGAAAATAATATGTAATCTTTTGAAAGAGTAAGGGTTTAGAATGGCTATATATAGGGTTTAGAATGCATGGGAAGTTGTGATATATTGGAATATCAAAATAATGTATTCTAATTCCAATAATATACATTTAATCTTGTAGTGTAATGATAAATAGTGGGTATTTTTAAATCATGCAATGAATAATATTCCATTTAATTATAATAGATCTAATTTGGTCATTCCAATTCCTTCCTCATTAACCGTGAGTCAAACATTAGAATGCAAATTCTGTCAAAAAAAAAAACATTGGAATTCAAATATAAATAAATTAACCGTGAATGAAACATTGGAATTGGAATTGAAATATAAATAAAATTCAAATATAAATAAAATAAATTAATAAATCAAATAAATAAATAAAAAATAATCTAAAATTATGATAGATTGACATGTCAGCAAAATTAAATGCCAAATGAATATGGTAACAACATAGTGTTGATTAGTCTGTTATACCCTTGGAATAAGAAAAGTTATAACATCTAATCAAAAAGTTAGACTTGGAATTTCCAGGTACTTTACTTTTAATAGATTGATAATAGATAGATAAAAATATTTGTAACTTATTCTAGTTTAAAAAAATTATTGTAACTTATTTCCATATATAAAAATATTTATATCAACATATAGACTTTTTCCCGTTTATAAGGGACTTGAACCCGTGTGATAATTTATAAAGTAAAAT